AACTGTCAATCTTTTGGTTAGCAGCCGTAGTTGCTCTTAACCACTACACCACTAGGGTTTCCACCACAGGTATAGAGGTTAGGATTTACAACACATATTTTGGAGGGACATAATTCAACCTACAACACACACATATTCAGGATTAAATACATTCCTGTAGAACAGGGCTCCTCAGTCTTGGCACTATTGACACTTTGAACTGGATAATTCTTTGTTAGGGGCTGTCCTGCACAATGTAGGGCATTTAGCACCATCCCCGACCTCCACCCACTAAATACCAGTAGCAGCCCTCCAGTGTGACAACCAAAAATGTCTCCAGACATTGTCAAATGTCCTCTGTGGGACAAAATCGGCCCTGGCTGAGAACCACAGCTATAGGATTGAAATGTCTCAGCAGGAAAACCTCTATGTTCAGAAAAGCACACCCAGTCAAAGGTGAAGACAACCGATAGATTCAATGAGACTAAGAAATACTTAAGAGATATGTACAAATAAACATGAGAAACTGCAGTCTTTTCCTTTCTGAATTTATAAATGCCATAGACTGAAAAGCCTTGAATAAGAAATGGCATGAAAGAATAGATGATTCCATTTTATATTTTTGTGGACTTGATTTACCAGCCTTCAGAACAATCATATGCACTGAGCACAGACCCCCAGCTTAAGCCATTGCTGGACCTCTGAGTATTTTTAATACAGGTGGAGGGGTGACGGGGATGAATGAATACAATGCTTTTATACAGAGCACTCTGACACACTGAATTAGCATACAGAAACCAGGTCACCTGGCAGATGGTCAAAGAAAGATCCCGCCCCCAATCTCTATCTTTTTATGCACTTTTCCCCTTTGTTTATGTGCGTGTCCTTGGGCTACCAGTTGCCTCTTTGCATTAGCTTGACCATAGATTTTGGAGAGATGGGTAACCAACAGTCTATTTAAGATGTATCTGACCACTTTCCCTGAAGCACCCAGTTAGGGTGAAACTCCTGTTATTTCTAGGCTGGCTTCTCTGCTTAACAGATGATTTCTTATTTACACCCTGTCTGTGCTAATTCCCTTTTCTGCAAGAAATCAGAACAGCAACTATAGGTTATAATACAGTTCACTGTAGTTTCATTATTACTCATCATACACAGAAAATTGTTTCTAAGTATCTTCAAGGACTTATGATAATGATCTAGCACACTTAAAAAAAAACAGGCTGCTAGCTTCACATTCAGAATTCTAGAAAAAACCTGAAAATTACAGAAATCCATTACATTTCATACCATGAAGTCTCTCATAGGAAGCATAATTGTAAAATATTGTGTTGCAAATTATGTTGTGCACATTGTAACAATTTCAGAGTAACAGAAAATATAAATAAACCTACTTGTGCTGGGGAATTTCCACTGGCTCTGAAGGATTATAGTAATTCCGTCCTATTTGGTACATGGATAACTTTTTTAAGATCCTGCAAATATATTTTTTGAAGCTTTAATAAATATCAATGACAGTGTATAAGTTTATACAAATGCTGAAAACAATGTTAAAAACATATAGAAAGTACAGAACTATAATCCTTATAGCACCAGAAGGTTTAGATACTAAATATACATATGAGTGTATACATAAAGACTATTGATTTTTCACAGTTGAGTATGACACAGCTGAAATTATCTTTATCTGTGTTTAACTGTAAAGATAAACACAAAATGGTTATCTACCAATTAAGATCTGTGGTTGTGACACTCTGGTTAGGTAGCCCAGATGGGCGAGGCAAGTCATGTCTAAAGTCTCTTTTGGCCTCTGCTCTATTTTGAGATGAGAAGTCTATTTCTCAGGAAGCTACTCAGGCTTCTGAAATGCCACCAAATAGCATGGCTGCCTCTTCGGCAACTAATCCTGGTCACTTGTGGAATTTGAAGCATCACCAACATAAGGTTGCCCAGTGCATGGGGGAAAAGTAGGGAGCTTCAACTCAGAAAACGGGGGTTCCAATTTTGTGACTCTGAGTACAATCACTGAGCCTCAGCCTCCTCATCTGTAAAATGGGGATTTTAATAGCACCTGACTCACGGTGCTCTAGTGAGAGGATCAAGTAAGAAAAAACACAAGTGAAAGCTTTGTAAATGAAAGCCGTCTTCCCGATGTTGGCTGATTTAAGACAGTCCCTTCCCAGGAGGGCATCTGTAAGACTAGCTTCTGAAGAGCAAGTATGCAGCACAGAGCTGAGGCCCAGTTGTGATCAGAAGATGTCTGACCAGAATTATAAAACAGTCTATCTGCGTGTGGGAAGTTCCTGTCTGTGTACTCAGCAAACCCAAACTTCCCTGTCCTTATCCTCTCCTGCGGCCTCGTCAGCAAAGGGCTCACATCTAAGGTTTTGAACAGATCACTTTAATCATCCACATTAGTAACATGCACACCAGGAGTTCTTGATTTTTAAAGTACCCACGCGTCATCTGGGCAGCTCGCTAAAAATGTGAATTTCCAGGTTCCACCCATCAAATTCTGACTTACTACATCAGGGGCCAAGGAATCCCCCAAGATTACTTTAAAGCAAGGGATCTGCAGACCAGTCAAGGAAACGTGCAAAGCTTAGTTATAATCTTCCCTCTGCCCCCATGCAGAAATGGGGGGAAGGGAAAAGGCTAAGACGGGAGGGAGAGTAGAGAGGAAATGGTGATGTCTCTTCACATACAATATAAATGATAGGAGAAAAAGAAATCTTTCAGCCTACTGACTCAAGCATGTTGTTATATTATCAGCTGCCAATCGAGCCAACCCTCGACTCACAACAACCCCATGCACAAGGGGGATGAAACACTGCCCAGTCCTATACCATCCCCATGATCAGTTATGGATTGGGCTGTTGTAATCCATGGGATTTTCACTGGCTGATTTTGAGAAGAAGATCGCCAGGCCTTTCTTCCTAGTCTGTCTTAGTCTGGAAGCTCTGCTGAAACCTGTTCAGCATCATAGCAACATGTGAGCCTCCAATGACAGACGGGTGGTGGCTGCCCATGAGGTGCTCTGGCTAGGAATCGAACTTGGGTCTCCTGCATGGAAGGCAAGAATTCTGCCACTGAACCACCACTGCCCCCTCATAACTCAAATACACTGAACTTCAAATCTGGATGGGAGGACAAAAAAGAAGAAAAAGGAAAAAGGCACTCTCCTCGTTTCCAGTGAGATAGCATGTCTTCGTCATCTAGTGCTACTATAACAGAAACACCACAAGAGGATGACTTTAACAAACAAAAGTTTATTCTCTCACAATCTAGTAGGGTAGAAGCCCAAATTCAGAGTGCCAGCTCCAGGGGAAGGTTTTCTCTCTGTCAGCTCTGGAGGAAAGCCCTTAACATCAATCTTCCTTTTGTCTAGGAGCTTCTCTGCACAGGGATCCCAAGTGCTGGCACTACTTTCTTGGCGGTAGGGGGTCCCTTTCCTCTCTGCTTGCTTCTCTCCTTTATATCTCAAAAGAGACTGACTTAAGACACAACCTAATCTTGCAGATTGAGTTCTGCCTCATTAACTTAACCCCCTCTAATCCTGCCTCATTAGCATCATAGAGGTAGGATTTATAACACATAGGAAAATCACATCAGATGACAAAATGATGGACAATCACACAATACTGGGAATCATGGCCTAGCCAAGTTTACACACATTTTTTGGGGGGAGGCACAATTCAATCCATAACACAGCATAACCTAACCTGGAGTTCTTTGAGTCAACTTGGATAATAATGATTTGTGCCAGTGAGAGACTGTGATGGACTGGGTTGCACCTCCTTACACAAGTCCATGAAAGTGATACCATGGTATTAAAGGCAAAAGCACTAAAGAAGGCATTGTTGCTGGCACATTTCCTACAAAATGGTTGATGATTTTAATACCCAGGTTCTACGCTTAAAGGTATCACTAGCCTAAATCAAATCCACATTTAAAGTTTCTTACTTTTTGAAAATGATGTTGAAAACCTGGATGCACACCGGGGAACTTGACGGCAGCTCCCTCATCAGAGTGATAGTAATCTTCACAGTCTCGCCTCTCTGAGTTCCACTTGACAATTCTGTGACCTGGAAAAGAAGTATTTAATATGCAATCTACAGATTATTCCCACATGTGCAGAATGTCGCTATTACAAAGTCTTCCCAATTTAACACACATTAACAAAAACCAAACTGCAGGTGTTAGTACGTGATGATTAGATTACTCATCACGTGAATAATCTAATCATCACATTACATTTAGAGGATTTTTCTTTTCGGTATCTGGCTAATCCTAGGAAATCAACAGATCTCTCTGCTCTCTTAACTTCTTAAGGGATTTTCAAAGCCAGACTCATGGATCAAAGACTCCATCCAAACAAGCATGGTTCTTGACCTTTTGGTGGAAGGAGGGTAAAATTACTGACAGTCTGATGAAAATTAGACATTCTCCCCAGAAAATCTCACATATGTATACATCACAACAATTTATATAATGTACCCATTTTCAGGGGGTTCAAGGACCCCCAGAAGCTTATTGGTGAACTGTCCTGACCACGAGCAATCCCAGTGGTGCGGTGGTTAAGCGCCTGGCTGCAGCCAAAAGGTTGGCAGTTCGAACTCACCAGCCACTCCACAGGAGAAAGATGGGTGAGTCTGCTTCTGTAAAGATCACAGCCTTGAAAACTCTATGAGGCAGTTCTACTCTGTCCTATAGGGTCACTATGATTTGGAACTGACTCAACGGCAACGAGTTTTTTGCTGTGACCATCCCGGGTTCATGGATTCCAGAGGACTGCCTCTCACAAATCTACTTATAAAATAGGAGAGCGGAGAAGAGAAGATGAGGAAAGCAAAGAAGGGGGAGACAAGAGGGGAAAGTAAACATGGCGAGAGAGAGGAAGTCAGAACAGATAGGAAACCTGATTTTATTACTTTTGAAAGGTCTAGAGAGAGCCCTAGGGGTCCTACAATCTGGAACAATGTTCTGGCAATGTAATGAATGCACGAATAGGTTTCTACACCAGCTCCCCAACTAAATGTAAAACTCCTTAGATCTGACAGGGATCAGTACAGATTTTTGGAATAAAAAAATGAACAAATCAGTCAATAAATATCAATCGATGATCAAAGATTTTTCAAAAGGGTGAAGAATTAGAAGTTAATTAAGACGCATTTGTTTATTTTGCTCCCACTTTCTACAGTTAAAGTGTAGTTTTAATCACTTTCAGGTTAAACCAACAATATATGTCAGGAAACGGTCATGGCATGAAAACAAAGAGACATTGGTCCCTTCATAGGGGATGAAATATTTCATTGAGATGATTTCCTGCTTGAGATAAAACTGTACAGATACCAGGATAAGCTCATTTTGGCAACATCCGGGAGAGAGAAGTGTGGCAGGAAGGAGCTGTTCCGGCTCGCAGACTGCAGCAGAGATGGTGGGCGAAGGATTATGTAATACAACAAAGGATTTTGGGGTGGGGGTGGCAGTAGATCATCTCAGCAT